AAGGCAAAAGAAAGTTTACTTAAAAGCTTTTATAATTGAGATAATCACTACATAGCATAGAATAGCCATAGGGACCAGTCTAAGTCATACTAAATCTCTTGACTTGTCATAGTCTATTTCTCTCTGATTTTAGCATTCCTTGAATAAAAATTTATGCTTACCTTGTCTTTATAAGTATCAGAGCACCCACAACTTAACTGTCACTGGATAGTCCCTCTTTTTGTCAAGTTATTTTCTCTTTATTTCTGCATGTAAACTGTAAAGCATTGCAGTTGCTCATGTTGGTTCCCCTTGTGATGTCATCAATGACCGCGCCCCCTAACAGGAAGCAGTGGCTACCAGCAACTTTAGCAAGCTCTAACTTTCCCAAAGCAAGTGCAATGCAAGAATGCAACTAGGAATAATCTATTTGGGTAGTGTACATTAAAAATAAGCAATAATCTCAATTTTCATTTTCGCATGCAGGCCTCCCTTCAACTATTGAGTCACTGTCGCGTACTACTGGGAGAGAATTCTTGAATAAATTTTCGATTTCTGTTCTTGTACTACAAAGAACAGGTACACGCATTGCTTCCTCATGCAATGTGTTTGTAAAGTGGCTGAGTGAAAACTTACTGGACAAAAACTTTAGCAAAACTCTATGGTATCTTTTGAAAAAGGACTACCTTAAGGTTACTTTTAAATGCGGGTACTATTAATTGCGAATTTTGCGTTTGGGTTAAAAATCGCAATTATTAATACTCACAATTATTAATAATAACATCATGATGCCATATAACTATTAGTAATAATTACTTAATCGCAATTTTTAATACCAGCAAAATCTACCTTGTGTTAAAATCGCAAAATTTAGTACCCGCAATTAAAAGTCACTCTAAGGCATTAAATAGTCATGGACCTTCCATCCTATAACTAATGGAAGTGTTGACAGTGTCTGCTAAGCTACACGTAAGTTCAGAATATTTGTATTGCAGCTGGAAGTGCTATATAATACAATGGAGAAACACTAAAGCAATTTTGCATATCATCATTGCATTATACAAAACTTCCGGTCACAATGCAAATATTCTGAACCAAGCTTTACTGTTGAAATGTATGATAACTAAAATATGTAGAAAAATTTTTGTAGAATGAAATTTGGAAAGACAGTCAATTTTAGAAATATTTTCACAGAACGTAACATCATTCACTGGCTATTCAATAAAATTCAAAATTTTATAAAATTAATTTTGTTGCATACATGTACATACCGTATAGTGGGAAATTATTGGAGGGAGTTAAATTTGGCAAATTGCTAAATTTTGGTGATTGGCAAATTTTAATTTGGCAAATTTGTGGCCACGTGCCATCAAGCATGTGCATGATGGCTCAAAATGGCGGATTTTAATTTTGGCAAATGGCTATCAAAATGACAAATTTGCCAAATTTAATTTACTCACTCTAAAATTTCCTACTATATCGTATTTTAGGGGTGCCACCCTGTCTGGCAGGTGTTATGAGTGATGTTTGCTAACATTAAGGGTGATACATAGTACTATACTGTAAACTATATCAAGCCAGATCATGCACATTACATGTCCCTCACAACTAAAAGGAAGATGGCAAAACCACAAACCCACATTTAAAACAAACAAAGTCTAGAGATAGCTACTATAATTATATTTAGATGTACACTGTAGTAGATTATATCTACTACTAAATTTACCGACACTACTAGTCTCCTACAGTAGCTTCTTGCAAGTATAGTTTAGCTATTTGGATCAACTTGCTTAGCAATGGAAGGAAAGGAGAAATATGAACATATGGCACCAGTTCCTATACAATGTCAGGAGAATCCTTATGAACTGATTGACATTAATACTCATGTAAGGAGGGATGGTGCTCAATCCACAGATGTGGCATCACAGAATAAATCATCAAGGCAGTCGACATGGAAGACACCATTCATTGTTATGACTTATGACCATGCTACAGTGCCTTGTAGTATTCCTATTGGTGGTAATACTTTGCTTGTTACTGGTACAGTTCTCTGCTAGAGATGCTAGTACTAGCACTACAAGTGCTACTGGAGCCATTGCTGGTGGTAATATAGCCTCTCCAAACTTCACAGAGTGGTCTGATAATATGTGACCATAATTGACAAAAGGGCCCTTATGGCGGATTTTAAAATTGATCGTTATAATGGAAAATATCAACCTGGGAGTGCTTTGTTAGACAATCATTGTTTCTAAAAGTTTTATGGTAACTTTTTGCATCCTGTGGAGTAATTTTATGATGAATGGGGCTCAGGAAGTTGGATTTCTTAGGCTAGAAAGACAAATTTCACTACCCGCCATAAGGTACCTTTTGTCAATTATGGTCACATATAGTCAATAAAGTTAACAGTAATGTAACACAGAGCCTTCCTGACTTCAATGAATGGGCTAATGGTGTTGTCTCTAAAGTTAACAGCAATGTAACAGGGAGCCTTCCTGACTTCAATGAATGGGCTAATGGTGTTGTCTCTAAAGTTAACAGTAATGTAACACAAAGCCTTTCTGATGTATTTCCTTACTCTCCCAACTTCACTGAACTTGATCAACAAATTTTACAAACTACAAGAGATTCTGCACAAAAGCTAATAAACATTGTCAATACTCTCTCTAATCTACAAGACACCAGTACCTCTACTGCTGGAGTGGTTAATGATATACTACTAATAGCACAAGACCTATTAGCACTA